AAAAATAAAAATAAAAACAAATTACTTATTTATATTTTATTTTACTAGAGTTATAACAATAATCAAGTAAATATTAAAATATCTAACAAACTATAGACTTTATAAAAAAGCAGTACTTTTAACTAAAATAATAGAGAAATTTCTATAAATAAAAGTTGATTCTCTTACGTTAGATAAAGGAAAGAAAAGAAAATTTTAGTTAATATAAATACTATTATTACTCTTAAATTACTACTATAAATATCAATAATTCTAATAATGTCTCTAAAAATTTTTTAACTTTAAAAATTTTCAAGAAATTTTTATCAAAAAACAAATTTTTTCGCTATACTCTCTTTTAATGATTATTTATAAAATTATTTAAATAAAAAATGACTAGTGTTACTAATTTAATTTTTGATTAATATAATTTTTACTAAAGTGATATAATCAAAACATCTAAAAAATCAATCAAAAAAGATCTTAAAGGTGATATTTTTTAACAAAAATAAAAAAAATGTTTTTGTTCAAGTTAATTTTCCTAATTTAGAAAAATACATATTTTAATCCTTCAATATCACATCATAATATTAGTATATTTTACAATAGTTAATCAAAATAATAAAAATCCTATTAAATACTACAATATTAAAAATTAAAAAGGTCTTCTCCTGTTTTAGAATGATTATTTATTTTATCAAAAATTTGTAATAATAAGCTATTATAACCTTTAATAATAAGATTAATTTAAAAAAACTTAACAGAGTTTTCATCCTAAATAATATAGTCTATTATTACATGTATGATCTTTCACAAAAAGATATTTTAAAAAAGTTTTAGATTTTTAGCTAAACTTATCTGTCTTTATCATTTTACTATAAATAAAGATTTATTCAATCTTAGTTTGATAGTTAAAACTATAGTATATGTAGTATCAAAGATTCACTCTACTATTAAAATCTTTAATATATATTTTTTATTTTATTTTAGCAGATAATTATGAAATTACTATTTTTAATAATAACTTTATTATTAATAAAAACATATTTAATAAACTGAATTAAAAACTAAATTATGTGCTATTTACTCATTATTATATTATTAAATTAAAGATTATTCTAGAAAGTATAAAATGCTTATTAATAGTAATATCTAATAACTTTATTAATATTTTTAACTTATACAGGTTAATAATTATAAAGTTCACAACTAATCTTAATATAGTATACAATTCTAATATCACTTTTATAAACAAAATTTAAAACCTTTATATTTTTAATAATAAGCTATCATTTATTTTTATAAATAATAATCCTAAAAATATTTTTAAACCTACACCTACTATTAAATCTAATAAAATTGATTTATCACCATCTTAAAATGAAGACTTTAAATATTAATGCATAATAAGAATAATAATAAAACTTTAAAAACTTTATTAAGAATAACTTTATGCAATTAGTAGAAAAATTAGATGATTTGACCATTACTCTAAACTATATTATAAAGAGAATATAAAACAAATATTAGATATTAAAATTATTCCTTTAAGTGAAGCTAATAGTGAAGACTATGAAATAGAATCCTTTCTACTAATCTAAGAATTAACATTTCTATGTTGATTATTATCAAATAAAAAAAGATAATTATTGCTTTAAAAAAAATTTCTGGTAGTCAATATCTTTATTTTAAAAATTTTATAAAAATGATTAATTTGCTTGTCAATTTATATAATTTATTTTTATTTAAAATAATTTACATTTAAAATTCAGTTGATTAATTTATATAAATTTATAATTTATAAACAAATAAAATTTTATATGATCAATCACTAGTTGATTAATATTAAAAAGAAGTTTAACAAATTTTTACCAAATGGATTCAAGGTGCTTTTATTAAAAGATTATTATCTGATTATATTAAAAGATTTTAATACTAATATGAATTATAAATATAATTTTATAAATACTTTTAAGTTTTTAATACTTTATAAAGGTTTTTTATTTTTAATACCTTTACACTCAAATAATAAAGCTCTCATATTAATTTTTTTATCTATATTATAAATTATTATTTATTAAGAATAGATTTTATATAAGTTTCTACAGATTTTGTATTTAATTTATTAAATTATTATACAACTGCTTCAAAAAATATAATTTTTAATTATTAAGTGATTATTATGATTTTTTCTAACTTTTTGAATATAAAATTTAATAAAAAAATACTAAATAAGATTACATTCAAATTCGATTTAAAATGAATAATAATTTTAATTTTAATTTTGCAAAAAATTGAATACTTTTATCAATAATTGTTTGTTGAGATTAATTAATAATAATATAATATAAATTCAATGATTTTTCAATAGATACTGAAATCAGTTTCAGAATTATATGATCAAAGCTGTAAAAACATATATTTCAATAATAATATCTAAAAGATAATATAAAATATCTTCACCTATAATATTCTTCAAATTATATGCTAATCAAAAAATTTTTACATAAATTTAGATAATCTTTGATCAAGATAAATGTCTTAATATTCTTTCACCAAATTAGCCTTATTTGTTCATTAGATTTATTAGTATATCTATTAACTAGCTTTTATTATTGTATAGAAATCCTTCAGTTTACTATTTTATTTTATTAATCTCATAATATTAAATACTGAATTTTTATTAAATACTATTCTGTGTAATGTTAAATTTATAAAAAGAAATATAAATTCAATAGATTTTTAACAAAAAACTAAATAATTATGTTAATAATCTTTTGAAATAATTAACTTTATGCTTATTTGTTCTTATAAATTATCGTATTATATAAATATTTAAATAATTGTATTAATACATGTAATCTTCTAATTAATGAAAATAAAGTTAAAAAAAGTAACAGGTTTTATCTATAAATATAAAAATATACTAGATGAATGGGTATCATCATATTAACTATTTAACTATTGATTTTTTGATTTATAATAACCTAATGTCACTTTCTTCAGCCAATGAATAATATGCAACTATTGTTTTATTGTTAGATAGTAAAGCATCTGATCTTTCAAAGATTTTTAATAAAATGCTAAACATTTGAGCTTTTATGTAAAGCTCTTATTAAACTTGTAAATCATTGCTTAACCAACCTATTTATCTAATATAATATTTTAAAAGATTACAATTTTGCTGATCTTTCTTCTTATTTTATATTTAATAATACTAAAACATAAAAAAATTCAGCAAAATGCAAACAGATAATTACACTTAAGTAAATCTGAAAAAATTTTAGTAGCTGTGTTTACACTTGAATAAAATTTAGCATAATAAATTTTACTGGCTCGCTTTTAAAACTTTAGCAATTACATAATTAATATCCTTTATGTTTAACCTTAAAATAGTTGACATAAAAGACCTAATACAATTTATTTTATCTTCTCCTTCAATCCCATCAAAAAGTTAAAAGATTTTTATTGCCTTTTCCTTTCTTTTTCTAAGATTAGCCTCTGTAGTTTATTTTGGTATGAAAAATACACAAATTTTATCATTAATTAGTGAATTAGATGTATTATCAATATATGCTTTTTTATAATGGTAAACTTTAACCTATACCCTTTAGTAGTCAAAAGGTACCATGACAATGCTTCAAAGGCAATTTGATTTTCCTTCAATTTAGAACTGTATGTGTGAAATTTTATTATTTATTGATTTAAAAAGTAGATATGATAATAAATAATAGACATCATAATGGAAGTTTGGTTAGCAGTAGCAACTGCTTCAAACTTGCTAGTTTCCAATCTTGAACGCATCAAGAACATAAAAGAAATGATGTTTAGGCTAAATTCCTGTTAAATACAAGATTATACACGAATAGGGTTAAAAATTAATAATGTTTATAAAAATATTCTATTCATATTTTTAGTTGCACGAGCATTTATCCCTAACCCTGAGAATAAGCCCTATGTTAATCATATCAATGGTATCATTATTGCATATCGGTTATCGAAAAGTTGCTCGAAAGGGATATCTTGTTCATCGCTTGGTAGCATTAGCATTTTGTTCCAAAGAAGAAGGAAAAGAATATGTAAATCATATTGATGGAAATCCTACAAACAACAACGCATCCAATCTCGAATGGTGTATACAGAAAATAATCAACATGTTGTACATCTTAGACTTGGGTACCAACGTGCTGTCAAGTAGATTTTTGATGATAAACAGCGTGTTACTGAAATTAATCATATCTGGAAGGCATGTCAAAGGCTTTAGGCTCATGCTATTTTAATAAAATCAAGTTGTGATTGCATATTCGATAACAATTTTCATGTAGGACATGATTTATTTAAAATACATTTGACCAAGTGGGACTTTATACTCTAATATTAAACTTAGCAAAGCCAAACTTGACCTTAGCAAAGAAATTTTCCAAATTTATCATGAATAACATAACTTATCTGACGCAACTGAAAATTGTGATAGTTACTTTTTTTAAAACTTTTACTTAGAAAACATCACAATAATTATATATTATTAAGCAATATAGCATGATAATAACTTTCACATAATACATACCTGTTAATGTATTTAAAATGTATAATCGCATATAAATTGTGAAGTATCAAATTCGAATAAAAAATTATGATTGTATTTATGTTATTTTTCTGATGATATACAAATTATACATCCCACACCACACACGCATACACAAAATTAAAAAACCATAAGCTTATTTTGTAATCCTGTGTTTAATTTCTACAAATTATTCATCAATACAATAAACCCTGCTGCTAATTAGACGATGCAAGCCTACTCTCAAAAAAATAAAATTACAGCTCAACTCTGCATTGTGTTATTTTTTTAACAGATCTAAATACTCGTTGCTTTTATTTTTAATCTTTGATTCCAAAGCTTTGTGAACTGTCTTTTGATTTGGCCAGTATATATCTTTGATTTCAAGGTTTAAAATTTCATCCTCTGATTTTTCTAACAATGATCGTGAAACCTCAGTTACTTCCTGCTAACTACCTCAAGCTCCGTCCAATTTAATATTCTCTATCTTGATATTATCAAATTCGATTGCTATCATTTTTTCAGAACTTGTCTTCACTAGATCAATTGCTTTTCCACTAAAATTCGAGCTTTGAGAAAACACCTGAAATTCTGGCTCAATATTCGCGTGAAAAGTAAGAATTAAAGTATCCATAAAAGTTTGTTTCAATGTTTCTTCATTTGAATGCTTAACACTATTGTCCTTTAATGGCTTTAGTAAAGTTTTTTCTATAAATCGGCAAAGAGGTTTAATGTTATATTCTGCCTCCAAAATCTGCAAACAATTCCATACAGGTGTTAAATCCTCCTTTTTCCAGTCATAAATCTTAAGCGCTTCTGTGATAAACTCCCTCTCAGCAATACGATTTGGTATTCGAAAATTGTGTTGTAACGATGCGGGTGATGGGTTTGGTTGATATGTGATGGCTCCAGTATAGAACATGAATGATAATAACGGGCTACGATCAGTTGCTAGCTTACAAATATTGAAGAGTCGAAATCGTTGTTCTATGCCATTTGCAGAATTGAGAGGCGACGATTGAGTGCTTCAGTAAGGATGGATTTTCCAAGGGAATTGTTAACAATTAAGTCCAATGTTGTTAGAGCGGGCAATGTTTGCGGGTCGGGGGGGGGGGGGG